TGCTGTGAGCAGCAATTGCAGCTCTGGAGAGTAGATAGGGCTTTGCTAGGATGCACCAAATCTACTGCCATCACCACTGTACTGCTTGAGCAGACCATCTGGTTCTGACAGGGACAACCTTGCTTGGATGAAGAACTTAACCACTGCAGACGTTGAAGGAGATGCCTTCGTTAAACCCCACAAATTATTTAAAAAATCAACAACACCCTAACCTTTTCTGTAGCTTCCTCATATTGTGCTTGAAGTGTTTCAAGTCTAAATTTATCTTTCGATGGGGCTTCTTCTTTGATACTTCCTGTTGACAAAAAGACACTGAGTAATGTGATCTTAATATAAGGCATAAGCAATGCACATATTAGCGACATGCAATGAGAAATTAGCAGTCCATTCTTGTATCAGCCCAACTGCCTGCACATCCCAAAACAAACTGCAATAAGCAGTTAAGTACCCTTATCATTTAAAACAATTAACAATCTTTATCGCAGAGCAGAGAGTGTCAAAGCAATAATCAACTGTACCTAGGATTAATACCTTAATTCAGCCTCCTTGAAAGCAGTGCTGTATGGCTGCAGTCCTCCACACCACCCTACACAATTAAGCTATACTAAAATCTCATGGATTCAACTGTGCTACAACTGTGACCTGCAACAACAAACAGAAATGGCTGGGGCTCACCAGTCATGCCACATATCTGGGGCATCACAAGTGATTTAACAACTCAACAGGAAAGCAATACGTGCCACCTCTATATGCCACATTTAAGAAAACCTCTGGCTTTTGTCCCTGTCATGTGGTACACCAAGGCACTCCAAAGGGAGTTCCATGAAACACAGCACAAGGACAGGACAAGGCCCCACAAAATGATCATTGGTGGTGACACCTGTCAAGATTACAAGGGTTGCATGAACAATTGTACTGAAATTACAAAAGGGCTCTTAGGGAAATGTTCAAATGTCACACTTTCTCACCTGACATCTTTGGTGAACCAGCCAGGAGGTTAGTGGATTTATGCACCTAATTTCTGGGCTTGGTCAACCTGGAAAGATGTTACCTCACCGCCTGTGGGTTAATTCTATGCCAAAAAAGGTCCCTCACACCGTCTTACAGTGTTTTGCGCCAGGTTGGCTGAATAACAACTTGCACTCCCTATCAAATTACCAACCCTTACAGACAGGAAAAAGAGGGGCTTATTGGTTGCTCTAATTCAGGGACGTTCCCTTTGCTAGAGGTGCCCCTGCTGCAGAAATGCATGACTAGAAGACACTACCAGGGGACGATCCCAAGTTCTATCCATATAAGCCTCTGGGACTTTTTTGTTTTCCTTGAGCATCTTTCATTGCATTCTAAAGGGACTGCTGAGGATTTTGGATGTTGTTGTTTTTGGTTTTAGTATTAATAGGTGGTTATGTCTGTTCTATTACTTTCAGTGCTGTTAGCGTTACCTGTAGTCGAGTCGGCTCTAAAGGGTTTTTGAGGTCTGAGAGATATCAAGGAGGATATACTACTGACACTGCCTGTGAATTTCCATGGCTGAAGAAGGATTTGAAACTAGGTCTCCTGAGATCTAGTCCAATGCTCTCCCCTCTACACCAACATGGTTCTCATTACTGTCAGCAGATTTTATTAATTTGGATCTTTACTGCTGCATTATTTTTATCTTGTACAAACTGTCTTGAGAGGGACTTGCACCCCAAAGGGTAGCTTTAAGGTGTTTCAACAGGAAGAGCAATGCCAATCAGAAACATGAAAACCACAGTCTCTTACTGATGCACATTCCAAACTGAATTTAAATTGCACATACCAAACTGGCCCACAGATGCCGTCTCCATTCTGGGGGGAATATTCCATTGCTTAATTTGATCCAGTGTTTTGAAGGTGTTGTTTGGAAGGAAAGACACCTCTGCATTGTGGTCAGATCTCAGCGCCTTTGCTTTTAAAGAAGCATCCTGCGTCAATGCCTGGGAGGCAATGATATCTATCTCCTCCAAATCATCTGCTGTAAAATCATCATTATCCTCAAAAGGATCATCCGTTTCCTCGGGTTCAGTTGCAGTGTGACTTTTGTACCGCTTGTTTGGTGGAAAGCCATCTCCAGGGTTTCCAACGTGACTTTGGCTTGTATCTCTCTGGAACACTGAAGATGTCGTAGTAACTTTTGCCTGATCCACACCATATAATATCGAGCTATTTCTTTTCTTATACCCAAAGAAATCATTCCTGGACATTCTGTGTTAACAAGTACCCTGGAAAATAAGAATAAAGTAGAAGTGACCCAAAAGAACCATGCTACTCTCCAAGTACCAAAAGGTAAGATTTCAGCCCAATCACAGGGATATGAATGTGGAATTAAGTTCCAATCTGCATAAGTAGAACACATAAGTGGAACTGTGTATAGATTCTTACTCACATCTAAACATGAACAGGATTGAGATTTTGGGAAACTTAGTAGTAAGTCCAGTGAGCTGCCTAGTTCAAAAGAAATACTGGAATTTAAACACAGGAGTAGAATTAGCACTGCTACTAACATTTGAAAACAACTACTCATCTCTCTATCAGGCTGATTTTTTGTCACAAACCTTATGAATTGATTTTTTAGAACATTTTTTAATCAGGAGAGGAAATAAATAGCAATTATGTCCCAAAGTTTGAAATGACAAGATTTATACAAGCCATTGTCAGCATTTGTTTAAGAATGTTTAGCAGGGCATATTCTGCAGGGCAAAGCAAAAGCTTGGGAGACAAAACCAACACACAAGCTTATTACAGAATGTGTCCAAATTGAGAGAGTCACCAACATGTAGTAGAGGCGTTGTGCACACGAGCTGTTAGAAGATTAAAAATCTGCTTCTTTTGACATTTTATAATCCAATCCTATCCACTGAAATATATTTACCAAATTCAACAGGCCAGACTTCAGAGTAAAGATCACCAGGAGTCTTTTTAGTATTATTATAGCATGAAAATTCATATGCAACAGTCAATCTGTAACATATCTACCTGTGTTTGATTACAAGATCATAGTCCCTCGTTAGCAAAGAAACTGTTCTTCCCACATTGTCTTTGGCCTCTCACCAAGCAAATATAATTCCAGGCACAAGACAAACAATATAAACCAATTTACATATATTTTACCGTTCCCTCCCCAAGTATGTTGATATTTCCTCATTCTTCTATAACATCATAAACCATTAAAAAACCCTATTTAAAAATTTTTTAAAACTCTCTTTTTCTACAATCAAAAGCATACACGCCTCCTCTTCTGCAGTTTGTTTAACAGCTGAATGGGCACACACCACTTTCCCTACTGCTAAAAACAAGACATGGGGTGTGTGATGAGCTACAGGTCTAATTAGGATTGTCAAGTTCACTGAGATTTCTACTCAAAATCTGAGATCAAAGAGAAGGGACCTTGTGATGTCACAAAGCTAGGGCAAGCAAGTGTTGGAGAAGAACAGAACCACCTGTGGGCCAACTAATTGTGGAAATAGGCATGAGGAAAATCCAGGTGAATAGTCCCAGAAGCTATACAGAGCCCTGGGAGACCCCTTTTTTTTTCCTTTTAGCGCTGAGACTGGCTGTAAAGTGTGGCTGCCACTGTCACCAGGGCTCACACTCTGAACAGTTTTATTTACAGAACACATGGCACAGTGGTGCCAAGGAGCTTTTCCCGGCTCTGCACTGCTTAAGGTTCACTACCAGCTGTTTTTAAGGAGAGTCACAGTGCTGGTGCTCCACTCTCCGCTTTGTGCCAAATGACATGATGGACCCAAGTGCATGCACCCTCCCAGCTCTCCCCCCCTTTTTTCACTATTGGGGTTACCACAAGTAACAACTTCTGTGTGCTATGCTGGCAACAAGTGTGGACGGATAGCAAACTTGCAAAACTGATCAACACACAAAAACCAAACTTTTTTCCCCCTGTAGCCTCTCTGTCCCTGGGATCCGTCTCCTTCCCGGGAGACCCAAAGTAGCACAGCCATTTCTTCGCGCTTCCAGCTGTGCCTTGGCGATCTCACACCCTGCCCACAAGCAACGTTACCCTCTGCCTGTTGTGCTTCCTTCACCTGGAGAAGCAGGCTAGCCACGCCGGCTCTCTCCTCCGGAACAAGAGGAGGTGCCGTTCTTGTCCCGGCGTTGGACCCAAAGCCCCTGCTGCTGCCGCCGCCGCCGCTTCACCTGCAGCTCAGCAAGCAGCTTTCCCTCGCTGCTCTCCCGCCGCGTAGCATCGCCAGCCCTGCCAGACGAACGGGCCAGCCGGCGACCCCCGAGAGCTCCTCTGAGAGGACGCCACCGAGCCCCCGGCATCACCACCCGAACTAGCGCGCGGAAATCTCGATCGCCACCCCAAACCCTAACCAACCAATCGTTGGCTACCTTTCTCTCAGTGACGGCAAAGTCCGGTCAGTCCTACACAGGAAGATCGTAACCTTCAGCGGGAAGGAAGTAGAAAAAGGCTGTAAGGCTCTCCCTGATTGGTCAGTCCGGTTTCCCTTTTCTTCTTTCTTCCTATTAATGGCTCGCGCGGGAGGTGGGGGACTTGTGCTTTTAGCCAAGAGTCTCCAGGCGAAAAATGCCGGGGGAGGTTTTTGCTCCTGCCCAGAAGGTCCTATTTTGTTTCAGGCTTTTTTTTTTTTACTGTCTTGGAGCTCTCTAGATAAAAGACTGTTTTCTCTAATATCAAAGAGGTAGCCGTGGTAGGCTACTGTTAGGGCAGAATATGAAGCGACACAATTATTTCCTATAGGCAAACGTGTCAGACAAAGGTGCATTTTCTCCCCTAATCTGTTCAATCTGTTAGCAGAACATATCATATAGAAAGCCAGAGATTCAGATGAAAGAGGAGTGATAACTGGTGGACGAAACATCAATAATTTAAGATATACTGTACCATTTTTCTGACAGAAAGCAGTAATGCCTTCACTGTACCACTTTTCTGACAGAAAGCAGTAATGCCTTCAAAGGACTTACTGAGAAAGTGCCAAAGCAGGGCTGCAGTTGATCAGTTAAGAAGATAAAAATCGTGATTACAGAAGAACTACTACACCATTTTAGTTTTGACAATTGTGAGGCTCCCAAAGTGGAAGCCATGGTTGGAGTGCCGCTGCTCCCGAAGAATAGCAGCCAGACTCAGACTTCCCCCCCCCACCATCCCCACCGCGACGGGAGGAGAAAGGAGTGGAAACCCCTGATTGGGGAACAGAATGCGGCGGAACTTGTACAGTATTCCTGATCACTGCCTATGGGAGTGGAAGCTGGACAGTAGAGAAAGCTGACAGGAAAAAATTGATTTGTTTGAAGTGCGCTGGAGGAGAGCTTTATAAATACCCTGGACCAGAGGTCATCAACCCCCAGTCTGCGGCCCGGTGCCGGTCTGTGGCCTGAGCTGGACGAGGTCGCAGAGACAGACCTCCCGGGCCCCCTTCACACACTCCCCACAGCTGCTTTGTGCACGCAAGCGCGTGCCAGCACCAAGGTGAGCACTCCCCCACCCCTTCACGCATGCGCCCAAGCGCTTCTGCACATGCACAAAGTGGGGGGAGCACTCATGCTGCTGGGTGTGTGCGCACGCTCCCCCACCACTTCGCGCATGCGCCCGAGAACTCATTTCCCACTACCACTCTTATAGACAAAACATATAAGTGCTGATCTCTGACCAGTTACTAAGCAGCATGTGAGCGAGTTGGATCACAGTAATGATATCTATGTGAAATCTATTCTTCCCTCCTCAATGCAAAAATGTCAAAGTAGAGGAGCCAATATCCTGTGACTTAGCACCATATCTTGTACTGTACTAGAGTAAGCCCACTTAATCAATGGGGATATACTGAAACAGCTTCTTTGTAAGCTCTGTTGATTTAAATAGGCCCATTTGAATCAAGGCAGCTTATGAAAGAGTTGAATCACCAAATCCCCATTGATTCTGTGGGCCTACTCTAGAGCAATATACTATACCAAACAAGAAGATTTTAGCCTGTGCAAGATAGAGATACACTTGCGATTCTTGTTACAGAAACTGCATATCACTTCTAATATGGCTCATATCAAGCAATCTGTAGCTATCAGATACATTTTGGAGTCCCATGAAACCCACCTTACGTGCCTTGCAGAAATCTGAATAACCCATGAGAATCCAATTTACTTCTGAAGAATATTCACTTCCTTCCATAAATGAATTTGGATTGATGAGGAAAGCTATCCAGTCTCTGAAGGCTACATAAAGAGTAGAGTCTCTGCTGTATATGTATGTATTCTAATAAATGGAAGAGTTCCCATTGCCTGGGGCCTAGCAATGGAGTTGCAAATGAGACAGAGGAAGGAAACACAGGCAAGGAAACATATTGAGCAAAACCAAAAGTAAATAAAAAATAAAGAAGACAACAATGTTGTGGCAACCTTAAATACTAAATGCTATATTTTGATGTGAGCTTTTGTGGACAACTTCACTTCCTTAAAGTGTGGGACTACATGGGTGAGGAAGGATAGTGTTGTTATACACTGTGACAAATTTCTCAGATTAAGGAAACAAGCTAGAGGAATACAGGGCCAGCCTCTGTTCTTTCCATAGATAACTTACCTAGTTATGTTGGTAGGTTGTACTACCTTTTGTTTTGTTTTTTTGCAATATACAGAAGCCACTGCAAGATAGGAAAAGGGAACTCATAGTCCTCAAGATGTCTTTGAAACTACAAGTTTCATAATTTCTCATCATTGGCTATATGGCTAGGCTTGGTTAAAGCTTGGTGGTGGTGAATAGGTGACACATCTCCTATTCACCTATTCACCACCATTGTGCAAATCACGGCTTCACACCATGAACTGCCTTGATAGTGCAGGAATCCTTGCTGTTTTAGAGTGTTATATTAGCAGGAATAACCTGCTAAATACTAGATTCAAATCTTGCAGGTAATATTTAGAGCGGATATTTGCAGAGTATGAAATACAGTAAATTTCAGTGATTTTGGAGCTGATGCTCCAGTTTCTAAAAGTGCACTAGGTCTTCCAAAACCAGAGGCTTAGGATCATTTAAATGTATAATCTTCCAAACTGAATGAAGATTATAAAATGGAGGGACCATTGTGTGGGTCTAAACACACTCTGTTACTTGTGCAGTTTTAATTCACAAAGATCCAAATGACTCTAGTTTCTGTGCAAGTACCATTTTCCTTCTTCCTGCTACCCCTTTGTTCTGTGTAGGTTTTTTTGTGTGGTTTTTTTTTACAACAGGACATAATGCAGTAGCCCAATAGGCTGCAGAATAAGGAGGGGGTAAACTGAATCAACACCCACTTCCTCAAATGAATGGATGTGATTTCCTCACACATGTGGAATACTTTGGATCCGAGCCATCATTTCTTCAGCTGCATAACAAATGTTTCACACTGAGCTGCAGAAAATACTGTAACAGATGTTTTAAAATTCCACTCCATATTTGTGTCTTCAATCTGAAGTGCCAGTGGCATCATGAATCTGAATAATAACATAAATTGTGGATATGGCATTGTTGAATCATCCAGGATAAATAGTAAGATGGCCCATATTCTCCGACCAGTCATAATTGTCCAAAGTGACATTTGTGGCTATGGAAGTAACATCGTCCTCTTCTGACTGCTAATAAAATCTTAGCTCTGTCTCTTCCGTTCTGTTATTACTGACACAATGAACCAATCTTTTTAAAACATCAATACTTTTTTCTACTTCCAGTAACACTATTTATAGCTGTCCTAAGATGAAGAGGCATTGTAGGCCTCCCTCTTCCATTAGTAACTGGATATAACCATCATAAAAAAATTATTTCATCTTGCGTCCTGTGACTTTAGATGATACTCATTTGGGCAATGTTACATGTTGGCGGCAGCACCATGTCTGACATCTGCCCTGAATTTCTCTGCGTTACATCCACCTTTTTGCAAAAAGCAACAAATGCGTATCCTATAGCACTGTCAGGGTGAACATGTGTCTGTTTCTGAGATATCAGTGATATTATGCCTTCTTAGCCTGATCAATGGCTCTTCTGTCCTGGGCTGGTGGAAGATGCAGGCCAACATACCTGGAGACACTAGGCTCAAGTCAGTTTTCTCATGCTTTTTCACCAAATGTAAATACATTATTTGGATAAACAATAGGAAAACCAGGCTTGAGCAGGAGTGAAATGTTAGAAGAGCTGTGTGGCAAGTGGAATGTTGTTTCTTGTTTATTCATTCAATTTGTACCCCACTGGTATAAGCACAACACATTGTGGCTTTCAAGATTAAAACTTGCAACCCTCAAATTCCACAGTAACAAAAAATAAATTAAAAATGCTACAGCAATATAACAAACATACATACATACATACATAGAACCACATAAAATCTATAGTTTTTAAAAAAAAGATAGCATTAAGAGTTTTAGTTATTAAATCTGTATTTCTAAACATAAGGAGGAAAGGAGCCTAGCATATCTCTGTCAGCATTTTATTCCAGACACTAAAAGCCAAAACTGAAAGGGCACAATTCCTTGTACAGTATTCACCTTTTTGTCCTCTCTCAGTGTGTCCACTTGTAACAACATGGAAGGGGTGGGTGGAATGGATAGCTGCTTTCTGAGAGAGACACTCCAACAAGATTGAGGTCCTAACCCACCAAGGGCTTTATAGGTCTTAGGCCGCACCTTGAATTGAGCATGGAAACTGACATGAAGCCAACGAAGGCACACCAGGACTGCCAATATATGATGAAATTTACTAGACTCAATAATCAGTCTGGGAGCTGCATTTTGGACCTGCTGAAGATTCTGTACTGTTCTCAAGGGCAGCCCTAGGTAGAAAGCATTTCAATAGTCTATTTTTGAGATTACCAGTGCACGAACCACTGTTGCTAAGCATTTCTTATCTAAGTAGGGGCAGAGGTATCATATAAAAGTCATATTAAATAAATACCTGTCATATTGTGCCAGACCCCAAAATTTAAATATTCTGCCAGTTAATAAAATTCCCATCGTAATCATATTTTTGGCCTGTTAATAAATACCAAGAGGAGAGCAGAATTGAATTATCTTATTTATTTGGCTGTTTGACTCTTAATCCTGTTCACCAGATAATTAATTAGCCTGTGTTTGTGTGCCCACAACCTAAGTGAGCAGTTCTGAGGGACAATGATGTAAAATGTCTGCTTGCCAGGCCTTTAATCTCCTTTCTAATGCTGCTATTATGAACATTGTTATTCAAAGGTTCTAAAGATGAACATAATGGAGAACAGCTCCATTCTTACTTCCCTCTTTCAAACAGTAGATATTTTGGGTGACAAGTATTCTGGGCACTCGGGTTTTCTCAATGACTAGCAAATGCTTGGTAGCAGAAACGTAAAATATCCACTCCTGTTCCAACTGTGTGCCACTGAGAAACACTGCTAACCAAAGGAATCAACAAAACAGTTCTTACATGTTTTGAGGCATGTGAAATGTAGTTCTTTAGGTGTTGCTGGACTGTAATTTCCATCATCATTCTCCATTGGTAATGTTGACTGCGGCTGATGGGAACTGGACTCTAAAAACATCTGGAGGGCCACAAGTTCGCAGTCTCGTCTTAGAAAATATAGGAACATGACTTCACTAAAGAAATGGATTGAGATAATAGGCTACTTGAAAGCCCCTAGTTAAAACAGTTTATCTGGTGGGAATGTAGTCTCTTATTTCAGAACACTCCAGCCCCTCAAGGGAGGCATCAAAGCACGAAGTTATGAAACTCAGGCTGATCAGATTTATTCCCCTTAACAGCCCCTAGCAATTTCTGAAATATTTCTCGGCATTAGTCTTGCTTTTCCCCCCTAAGCCTTGTATGCCTGTGCTAGTTTCTCGTGTAACACTAAAACGAAGTCCATTGAATTACTAGAGCAACATGTATTAGAACAAGATGTATTAGTGAATCAGTCTTGTTAATCATGTGTAACTTGGTGGCGCTGCAGGCTAAACCGCAGACGTGTGACGTGGTGGCGCTGCTGGCTAAACCGCAGAAGCCTGTGCTGCAGGGTCAGAAGACCAGCAGTTGTAAGATCGAATCCACGTGACGGAGTGAGTGCCTGTCGCTTGTCCCAGCTCCCGCCAACCTAGGGGTTCGAAAGCATGCAAATGCAAGTAGATAAATAGGGCCCACCTCGGTGGGAAGGTAACAGCGTTCCGTGTCTAAGTTGCACTGGTCATGTGACCACGGAAGATTGTCTTCGGACAAAAACGCTGGCTCTATGGCTTGGAAACAGGGATGAGCACTGCCCCCTAGAGTCAAACACGACTGGACAAAAATTGTCAAGGGGAACCTTTACCTTTACCTTGTTAATCACACTTCTTTTTATAAATGTTCATAACATTTATACAATTCTGTTTCCTTGTACTGTAATTTGCAGCAACATCAATAGCAAGTATTTATGAATGCAGAAACTAGAATACATGACAAAATATCATTCAAAAATATTTAAATACATTTCCTAAATGTTGTGCTTTATTTACATTGTATCAGCAATCCTTAACAGTCATAAGTACCCTCGTAATTGGCTATGCTGGCTAGAAGTGATGGGAGTTGTAGTTCAACATATCTGGATGGCAGTAAACCTTTATTCATCCCAATACGCTTATGATTGTTATGATTTTGCTGTTTAATGATCTGTGTGCTTAGCCACATTGAATATCGTTTTATAGGTGCAAAGGTGAGAATAAAATATGACGAGCTAATAAAAATATTACAAATTATATGGAAGGGGCATGGGAAAGTTTGGCTTCCTTAAGGCCATTCAATGAAATTTTAGTCAGAAACCTAATATGGATAATTGTCTTATAATTTCTTTTTGAAAAATCAGTAATAAGAGGATTACGTTGTACTCCGTCCTGCATCTGAAAAAGTGGGCCATGTCCAAAGAAGCTCAAACTAAATAAAACTTCTGAAGGATGCCACAAGTAAACTTGTTGGTTTTGCTGCCAGAGATTAATACAGGCACCAGCTTGGCTGCCTCTACAATAACCTCACTGTAGGCCACACGAAAATAATAATGGTCGGCTGACAATGGTGGTTGGAAATAAAGAGTCCAGAAGTACTTTTAAGGCTAGGGGAAAAAAAGGGATTATAGGGTGCATTTTCGTGAACGATCGTCAGATGCAACAGTTGACGGGAGGGCTACAATCCATGAACTCTCCCTACTATAAAGCACTGAGTTGTTCTTCTCTCTCACGGCTCTCTCTCTCTCCTCTCTCATGGCAACTACAAGCAGCGGCCACCGTGTGCCTTGTCTTCCCAGCCTTGGCGTGACGCGCCTCCGGGTCCCTGGAGTCATCTCGCTGCCCATTTTCATTCGCCTGGCCCTTCGTGCTCCGCGGGAGCCTCGGCTTGCTTGCTGGCCCGTCCGGCCCCGCCCCTCTCGCCGCCTGCGCGCTTCTGATAACCGCCGGTTCTCTCAAGCACGTCCACACAATGAGGGGCTTCTGGTCTCCCTATCGGCGCGAGAGACTCGTGCCCCTCCCTCTCTTGCCATTCTTTGATCAACAAGACGGAAAAAACACTCCAACCTCACCTCCAGTGACGTCTCTATGGGCACGAGCACGCCCCGCCCCCCAAAGTGTTCACTGGTGCTTTTTCTTCCCCCAAAGCCCCGCCCCGTCACCTCCTCCCACGACTACTGGCTTCAACAGCCTTCTTTGGCCGGGACAGAAAACAAATACACGGACAGTCCTCTCTTGCCCCACCTCTCCGGCGCCTTCTTTCTTTCCATTGGTAGAAATCCACGTCCCGCTTCTTCCTTTTTTTTTTTTTTTGCGGTGGAATGGAAAAATAGGCGGGGCATGAGAAACCCCTTCAACGGACTTTTCCTCGGCCGCTTCCTACTGTTGCTAGCGGATCACGAGGGGCGTGTGTCATTTCTCGCCCAATGGGGAGGGGCGGTGTGGCGTCCTCGGAGGGAACGCCCAGTTTCTGTGATGCAGAGGCTAGGGGCGGTGTCATTGGCTGTCGTCGGCTCCGCCCCGTCCCCCTAACTGTGGTGGTGCTGGGTGGGGGGGAGGAGAAGCCACCCCTTGTCTGTGGGGGCTCTCGGTCTGTTTACTCCTCTCGCGGCGGCTGCGGCAGCGGGAGCTGGACCGTCGGCGCGGATCGGCCCCTCTCTGCGCCCCCGCCCCCCCCTCAAACTGCTTCGCCAGGGCCAGCCTTCGGCCACGCAGCCGCAGCCCAGCTGAGGGACCCCGGGCAGGGACCGAGCAGATCCAGGCAAAGTTTTGTGACTCGGCGAGGACGATGAAGACGGAGATCTCTACGGCCGCGGGCTTCATCGCCCGCCTCCTCAAGACGCCCGGCGGCATCGGCGACGAAGAGCTGCGCTGCTTCAGCGAGTCCCTCCAGGAGGCGCTACGAGGTGAGGCGGCTTCGGCGGGAAGGGGTGGCGAGAGGACCCTCGTCAGGGACGCCCCGCCGCCGCCACCCCTTCCAGCCATCCCCGCCGAAAGTGAGGGGCGCGGGGGTGGCGAAAGAAGAGGCCGTCTCGCCCGTGGCGTCGTGTGTGGGGAGGGAGTCGATGCCGCCACAAAGAGGAAGCAGACGCACACGCTCTCTCTCTCTCTCTCTCTCTCTCTCTTTCTCTTTTTCACACACAAACGCACGCACACACACACACACGCACGCTCACACACATACACACACACACCACGTACACGGAAGGTGCCACTGACCCCCCCCCGTCCTCCTTGCGTCGGGTCGGGTTCCTCCTAAGTTCCTCTCCCAACTCCTACCGTCGCCTCTCTGCCCTTCTCCGCGGGCCCCGTGACAGGACGGCGTCGGTCGGCCGCTTGGCCCCCCTCCTTTTCGCCCCTTACCCACTCTGTTCAAATGCCTGAGGGGATCAAAACAACGACGACAACCGCCCGTCGCCGCCGTTGGAGCACCCTTTCAGTGTTAGGGAGGAGAGGGCGGATGCACGAGACCCCCTCCCCGCCCCTTTACCTTGGAGGGAGAGGAGTGGCCCCTTTCCTCAGCAAACCTCCCCCCCCCTTTGCCTTTCGACGTAATGAAGGTCCCATCCTCCTGCTCTTCGCCCCGTCTCCCCAACCAACCCTTCTCCCATCACCGCCCCCCCCCGTTTCTGTTGTTCTCCTCTCCAGCCTTGCTTTCCCCTCCCCAAAATGTACACACACACACACCCCTGTTTGTGTTTGGGGTCCCTGTAGGGATGGAGGGGCAGCTGAAGGACAGGGATATGGCGATGTACTGGAGCTCCTGAGCTCACGTCCAGAGGCTGTAACTCTTTCCCCCCCCCACCCCCTTTGTTCTCTTTCACAGACCACTATAAGCACCACTGGTTCCCCCTGATGCCCTCCCCAAAATGTACACACACACACACCCCTGTTTGTGTTTGGGGTCCCTGTAGGGATGGAGGGGCAGCTGAAGGACAGGGATATGGCGATGTACTGGAGCTCCTGAGCTCACGTCCAGAGGCTGTAACTCTTTCCCCCCCCCACCCCCTTTGTTCTCTTTCACAGACCACTATAAGCACCACTGGTTCCCCCTGATGCCCTCCAAAGGCTCAGGGTACCGCTGCATTCGGATCAATCACAAGATGGACCCCTTGATAGGAAAAGCAGCAGGCACCATCGGACTGAGCCACCAGAGACTCTTCCAGCTCCTGCCCAGCGAATTAACTCTTTGGGTCGACCCCTTCGAGGTGTCCTATCGCATAGGGGAAGATGGGTCGATCTGTGTCCTCTACGAAGGCCCTCAGCCAGCAGGGAAGAATGCCAAGACCCTTGAGAGCAGGAGCAGCTGTAAAGAGGAGTGGAGCATTGGCAGAGCCAGCCCTTCCAAGAACTACAACATGATGACAGTTTCCAGTTAAAAAAAAAGATTAACATTCCCTGTACAATGATGTATGTATCCCACTTTGATAATGAGGTTAGATGATGTAATTGATATGTTGATTTTCACCCCATAGTCATTAAAGTTGTAGTAGTACTGCCAAACTCTTTGTTTCGTGGCCAAGGGCTAATGTATAAACAACTTTTTTATTGTATGCTGTAAATGAAATTGTACAGTCAAGATGATTGTTTTACAGATTTATATTTTGGGGAAAAATCTTTGGCGATTTGTAATAAAAATGGAATTAACTCTTTTAAACAGTTACTTGTGGTCCACAGAAGCTTTCGACTTATCACCTCTGCACTTATTGGGCAATAATTTGAGAGTACAAGTAGGCCAGGCAGAGGGGTGGGAATTAGACACTGACCAACTGAAATTTTTAAATCTCTCCAGTGACTTGGCTGCATAGACTTATTTCAGGGTCATAAACACAGCTGCAAAGAACAAATACAATTTGTCTAAATATCCAGGCCAGGTTTCTCTATTTCTAAACAGCTATCAAACATGGAATCAGATTTTTCGGAAGTGAAACTAGAAGGTTATTCAATACTTCATTTCCATTTGTTCACTGAAATACTTTTTAACATGGTGTAAAACTGATGATTGTTGGTTGAAAATCTTTTAGTTGAAACATAACCATATTTCACAGTGAAATTGGGTGACTTAAGCCTTTCAACCATAATTGTTAAAGCTTTCCTGTAATTAGCTGTCTCGTCCTGATTTAACTGTATAGCTAGGTGCTATTTTGTTCCATTAATTCACAGGAATTATTTTCATTCCATTTCGGATAAACTACCTTGAAGCAGAATGCAACTTAAATATTAAAGCAATTGCTGGTTCACATTTTAGAAATACTTGGCTATGTTTAATAATCGTACATATTATTTGTTTATGGGCTATTCAGAATGCTTGCTACTAAATATGAAAACCCACTCAATACTAAGGTGTTGTTTCTTTTTGAAAGAGAGATTCAAATCCAATTAATGCTTTAGGACCCAAATAATTTCCTTAAGTGCATCCAAAATGTTGACTATGCCAAGTGGAATTCTGATTTTATGCAGTGAAGAAGGATATTGTAGTGTCAACACATCACCAGCAAGTCTTGCTAAATGTCACATTAACATAGTTAAGGATACTACAGTATTAAGGGGCAAGTCTGGACATATTCAGAGAAATAATTTCAACTAGGCTGAACAACTGGTAGGATTAAAATTCTAACATCTTAAAATATATCATGAATGTGGTCTGCTATTTAATGGTATTGTGGGTAGTTTATTTTAAGACATTTGGTAATTTCTTCCAGGAATACAGGCCAGTATTGCAGATCTCCCCACATTCCCATACTCTCCAGTAAACACTGAATTGTAGGGTTTAAACTATGATTCTGTGCATAGCTACTTGCAAATAAAACTTCTGGATTTAATTTTAGAGTTCTTATATCACATTAATTAATGTGCTATAAGTTACAAATTGTTAGCTATGTTACAAGTCTAAGCAAGTACATGGACTTACAAATGCCTATAGTAAGCGTTCATTGACTTTCATATGAAAATTGGTATAGATAGGAAGTTAAGAATGGTGAGTTTTGGAAAAAGAAGGCAGTTGTAGTTCTGATTTTAAGACAAAGCAATTACATTTGGAAATACTTGTTTTGGAAAATGATTCCTGATGTGATTTATACAGCAAGATGTTTTCTAAGGAAAGTTGCTCTGAAGCTTTCACATACTAAATTTGTGCACATATGGTACTAAAAGCAATTTCCACCTCTTCTACAGTTTATGTCATGTTTGACCACTGGTACGAGAGAAAGGTAAAAGATTCTATTTAAGCAGTTCTAACTGTTGTGTTTATGTAACAGAACAGCCAAACTGAACTGACTGAAATATTAAAATAACTATAATTTTCCACCTGCTTGGACACCCAGACAAAGGATTTTCGAAAGGAAAAGAACGAAGTACTATTCTTTTGTAGATAAAGCAGGTGGGTGGACTTGAGTTACTGTAAGTATTGTGTGCTCTCTGGTTGTTAAGAAAAGCACTTGTTTTGCAGAAAGCATCACAAACTCTGGATTTTTAAAGAAATATGCATTAGCAGTAGAAACATTTAAACTATACAGAAGCATTATTTAAAATGCTTGTTCAAAGGTCTTAAAATGTGTTTGCTGTTATACCAATAATAATCACATAGAGAAGCATATAATTGATGGCTAGTAAGAAGTTAGTAGCCTGTATTACATTGTGGACAAAGGGAAGTGCCTCCTTCTTGGTCAATATAAAAATACAGGCTATTATCCTTTGGGAATGCTAGTTTTTAAAATGGTCAGCAGATGAGATAGTGGGAGTGGGAAAGTTTACTCCTTTTTTTCCTGCCAGCTCACTTGGTTTCTGTGCTGGCTGTGAAGAAGGGATGGCAAGATCATCACTTCCCAGCTTATATGTGAATTTTTCCCAGACCCATAAGATCTGTTTCTTGAAGGTCCTCTTTGTTTTTTAAGAATGTATAAGCATAAGCTTGCTCTTAATTGATTTCTAAAATACAGTTTATCAGACACAACTAATAATTCACTGATATGAAATCACATTTATTTATGTCGAAGTATGATAACATTTACACTTGAGAAGCCAAGAAATTATAATGTCTATCTGTAAACAAAAGGAAAAAAAATACTATTTTCTGAAACAGATACCTTATTGTTTTCAGGCAGTTACTTGTTTACAACAGTTCTCTACATTCCTTCATGCAATAATCATGTATGCTTAAGACCAGAATCTGATTTTTTTAAAAAAAAGGAATTAAAAAGCATGGGAGAAGGCCATATTACGTAGTCTGTTTCACTATCTAACAAAAACAACTATGGATTATATTCCTTTTTCCCATGTAAATTTTAAAAAAAAAGATTGTGGTTCCTTTACCATTAGAAGATTTGCTTCAATATGACCTTTTGTGGATTATAATCCACGTTGAAATTTTATTTACGGTGCCCATATCTACACGTCCCCATCTCCACAATGTAGAGTTATATAAAAACTTGTGGATAAACATTTCACTCTTTGTATTTGAGAAAGTGGGTTGTAATCCATGAAAGCTCAAACAGAAAGAAACATTTTTGTCATTAAGGTGCCACAATATTTTTTTTTATTTTTAAAATTACATTTTTAAAATTTTGTTTTTTGTTTTATGTAGGTAAAAAAAGGAATATTCTACTGTAAAAGGTAGACTAAATGTTAAAGGGGGGAGTTAAATTGGCCTTAAAATATTTTGCATGGAATGTGGAGTAACAACGTTTCAGAGAAACCTGCTATTCTGTCAATACCTTCATTTTCCAAGGTTTTAAAATATCTTTAAATGTTTGTTGCCACTGATAAATATTTACAAATATTTGACCCAAATATCATAATAACTTGTATTGGGTGAGTAGCTCTTTAGCAAGCGAGAAAGTCTGACTTGACATGACTTAAGGCTTACTCAGTAAAAGATGTGTACTGGATAATGATGTAAAAAGGAGAAACCAGGAAGGGAGGGGTATCAGACAACCAACAGAAAGTATGAGGTAGTCTTTCTACAATCACAGAAATCGCATGATTTAAAAGTCACCTCTGGGCTATACAGTTGCTGGAGCTCCAAGAGATAATTCAGTGCAATAAAGAACAAGGAATACATAGCTGTATGAGTGGGGAAATGTTTGTTTTTTTTTAAATGTTCGGGCTAGTGTCCTGTTGCCTAAACATTGAAATTGTGTTTTCTCTCCCCTCCCCACCCCCAAAGCTCCCCATTATAGGTCTGTTTTCACACTGGTTGTGAGATCAGTCAGGCAACAGGAAGCCTGCCTGAGTAGGAGGAATGCTTACATGACAGTCATTCTACTCCATATTTAGGCAACAGGACACTTGCTTGACTCAGTTTTTGACCACTGTTATCTCTGTAGCCGACTGACACATCTTCCTCACTAGGTTGCATTCATCTGATGGCGTGCATTGCAGTCTAACAAAACTTATGTCAAATATCCGTACATGGGTGTTTTTAAGGTGCCATAAGACTCCTTGTTGCTTCTGTTAAGTGCTATCTCTAGTCTCATTTCATACTGTATTATCAAATAGACTATGCTGTACATTACAGTATTTAATTCATATTTGGACCTGTATTGAGAATATGCTGAAATCTAGTAGGTTAAAATATAATACTGTACCTAAATAAATAAACAGTTAAACAAGATATGTTCGTATATACTGAATAAGTCCTCACATGCACAATGAAAACAGCAGTCTGGGAGCTCTTTTAAAAATGCCAAATAACGCCCAGCTTAATTTTTCCCACCATCTTGCTTCTATCGATGTCTCATGTTGACCTTCCTGGCCAATATCTGAACTTCATTCATTATGTTTGAAAGACTTTGCTCCCCGCTTGTGAATCCTGGATGTTTGCCATTCCATCTTCCTAGGCAATTTCCATCACTTTTCTATACGTATGTTTATTCAGAAGAAAGTCTCATAAAGTCAGTGAGGTTTGCTAGCAAGGAAGTGTGCTCAGGAGTGCAGCCTTCCTTAATTTCTTCAGCAAAATCTGAACCTAGCTACCTCACAACCTCCACATTATCTCCTTTTCTATGCATGGATTGATGTTATTGTAGGTATATAGTTTCTGTAAGTGAAATTGTGCAAATTCAGCATTACACTGGTGGGATGGAAATATAAAATAGCATTGAAATAGCAAGAGTTAATTAAACACAACGAGGATGCTAGTTTAAGAAGACATTGTGGGTTTGTGGGAGGGCTGTTTCAAGACTGAAATACTGCAGGTGTTGAAAATAGGAGCCTTTTTCTTTCTTTATTCAGGTTAGCGTATCAATTCTCCCCCCTCCCCCAAACATTCAGCAATAGCTTGTTGCATAGAGTCAATCCAGTTCTTGGTTCCCTACACCCAGTCCTTTATTGTACTGGAAATGCTTGTAGTGTGGCATCTCACACGTGTAGTTATGCTACTGGCATGTGTTGTTTTTGTTTTTTTTTCCTGAGAAACTTGGCTTTCTACTCCATTGCTTATGTTTACCAAAAACATCAGCAGAGGCATAAACAATCACCTACAGTCATCTAGCTTTTGAGTGGAACTTGACATTTCCTCAGGCTCTATGTTAATCAAGAACATAAGAAGAGCCCTGCTGGATCAGGCCAAGGGCCCATCTGGACCAGCTTCCTGTATCTCACATTGGCCCCAACAGATGCCTCTGGGAGCACACGAGACAACTGGAGACCTGTCTCCTGATCCCC